GAAATGCATGAGTCCCGTGCTGAAGATAAGTGCAAGTGCATTTTTGTGGAAGCAGAAATATATGCATGTGATGATGAAGATGCCGGAGATGGATACACATATTCACCTGAAGTCACGTCAGAGCGTTACATGGCGACGCCAAGAGAAGTTTAATTACTATATGTTCCAGTGGTTGGTACACATTTATAAGGAGCTATCAAAGGTGTAAACATATGAACCGTTAGGATACACCTGTACATTTAGGGACAGACGGTGGATACAGATACACCTTTTGAGAGAAAAGCGGACACCGCTCATTTTAGATTCTAGAGATGAGAATACGTGTATCTGAAGATGAATCTTGAAGAACCAGAAGTGTGTACACACATGTACACCTGATTCAGAAAATACAAAAGGTGGATATGTATACACACACCTGTGCATCTAGCCACAAAGTTACAAAAATGCATATGCGTACACACCCTTACACTTGCCCCTGAAGATACATAGAGTGGATATATATTCACTCGATGATGATAGGGGTGGGTAGACATTTATCTAGTTGACGTGTCACGGATATGAATACATGCAGTTGAAGCCAACCAAGATTTACCTGCACATAAACATGTAAGAGTCGTTTATATCTCCAGTTGCACGTGACATATTTGAATGCATATGCAAGATGAGGCCTAAGAGGTGGGTAAAAATACACTTGGAAGTATTTTTTGGGGAGTTAACATACATTTACAAATGTCACATATGGATATACATACAACCTGGGAGGAGGATGTCTGATGCGGATTCACAAGTGTCTAGATCTTTCATATGTGGATGACACAGAAGTGTTCATGCATTCAGAGGAATCAGTAATGGGCACAAATGAACGCCTTGTTGTCATAAGTAAGATTTTATGTGCCTGCATATGACAAACGTGGTTCATAAACATGTGTATGTCAAGAGTATGTACATTTTCATTTGGAGGTGCCAGAGTGTGTACACATACATCCGAAGGTGTTAGAGTATACATATTTAGCTAGAAAGGCAAGTAAGCTATACATAACTAAGATAGAAATACTAAAGTTGAGTACATTATGTATCTAGAGATACCAATATCAAGTACAAAGGATCCATGTGATACCAAGAACTGGTCACATATACACATAAAGGTACCTAAAATAGGAACATAATTACCTGGGGATACTCAGTTTCAAACTAAGTATACCTAGGATTAAATAGGTTGGGCACTTGTGCGTCTGACGCTATTTAGAGATGTTTATATACGTGCTTAGTGATACCTAACGATAGATAATCAGACGCCTAAACATCGTGGAAATAGGTACACATGTGCCCGAAGACAAAAAAAGTATGTATATACCTGCAGATGTTAAGACGGTTTCAAATCCACTTCATTTGATCAAATATCTGCACATACGTACCTGCAGATCTCAAAGACCATTACTCGTGTTCCCGGCGCTGTCGGACATATATAGTTACACATAGATAAACTACGATAGCTATATAGACATAGGCATATTAAACAGAAATTTGTACCCATACACCTGAAAAACTGTCGTAGATTGATATCAATGCACCTTATGGCCATATTAAATACATACACATACATGTGAAGGTTAATATGGGGGGAGGGGAAAATAGAAAAAGACGTCTCTTTGTTTTCTTTAAATGTTCCAGAAATAATTTGTAATTCATTCACAAGGTGGTATTGCCAAGGGTGATGCTCCTGTAAAATTTAAGGACTATTGCTATATCCTTCATTTAAGACAGCATTTAAGACATCACTTTGAAAAAAAAATGTTTTTACTGCTTTCATTGTCTACAAGACAATAGTAAATGAAGCACATCGACTCGATACGGCATTCCCGAATTTCTAGTAAGTTATAAGGAAACCCCCTAGTAAGTTACAGGGAAAACTTTATGCTCGTGTGAGCTTAGTAAATTATTGTGGCCAGGAGACATGTGGACACATAACTACCGGAGTGAAACAGCACTGCATCACGTTACCCCAACGCAACTAGTGGTCCAAGAGGAAATCAAACAATGCTTCGCTAAATGACTGGTCTTGAGAACCCCTTTCCCCTCGGTGTTATCCACAAATCATTTCTTATCGATTCTGCCCAACTTTTCACTCTCTCAATCTCTTTTCTCCAACTCCCTTTTCAACTCCCCCCCTCTCCCTATCTTCCTCCTTCTCCCTCCTCAGTCTTCCCACTTCATCTCCTCACCTCCCACTCGTCATCAGCATCAGGGTAACGTTAGTTCATATTCTTTACACTGGCTTTACAATGGCTTTCGTCTGACATTACAAGCGAGCATTTTCTCTGAGCTCTGATAGTCATTTTATAGTGTCTCCCTGGAGGATTGCCTAAGTGTAATCCTCGAACTCTGGCTCCTGGTCCTGCGGATGTGTGTGTGTGTGTGTGTGTGTGTGTGTGTGTGTGTGTGTGTGTGTGTATGTGTGTGTGTGTGTGTGTGTGCGCGCGTGCTTGGGTGTGAGTACTGTAGAAAATTAGCATTGTGACACTCATTTTCAATTGTAAGTGACGCAATTATAACCTTCACATGATGGCATTTGAAAAAAAAAAAGTTCTCTGTGTTACAGACAGCAGACCCATAATCCGATCAATGTACATTACAAAGAAAGGCTCCCAACGGTGACACTGACTCGAACAGACCCAACCTCACATGCTATTCAGTAATTATCTTTCGTATAGGCTTGATGGCATGAGGCAACACGTGATTTGGCCTAGTGGTTTACGAACCTATATACATCCTTTTCAGTGACGCATTCGCAACAATTTGGCTCTTTCACACCACCACCAGTATAGATTTACATTCTGGGTTGTACTGTATCTTAAAATATATAGTCAGCTGTGTTATTATTTGTAATTCATATTGAAATATTAATGAGTTTGTGTATGGAGACTCTAGTGTGGACAAGTATTACAATGTTTGTTATATCACTACTGCGTATAGCATGGCTGGTTGGTGACTGAACACGTAAATAGATTTTCACACACAAGTTATCACTACTTGACATGACATGGCCGGTGACTGAGGACTAACAACATGGTCACGCACAGGTATAACTGTGGTAATTTTTGTTAGATGACTGAGCCCTAACAATGTGGTCTTGTACAGGTATAACTGTGGTAATGTTTGCTAGGTAACGTCATCATGCACACGCACACAACATAACAGTAACAGATAACAATTGCAACATGCACAGCAGTATCATCATTCATGGGCACTTAGACACTAACAACAGATTACGATGCAACAACATACACGAGACGCCCTCTGTTGCAGAGCAACGTGTTAAAATACTATTATATATAAGGAGCTTGTTGTGTATATTTCACATGAGCTTTCACATTATATTGTCGTAAAAAAAATCAATATTCCGAAAGCTCAAAATGTTATAACTAAACTCCTGGTTATCTTACATTAATCGTGATATGAATGTTATCGTCATTTCTGGTAAATGACACTCTTGGTGTCCTTAATTAACTTAGTTATTAGGCAACATAATTCTCTATAGGAAGCTAATGTACAAAAATATGTTTATTGGAAGAGTTCCTTTCCATTCTATCCAAAACATCGCATCACCAAACATCCAGTGACCTTGTCAACATATAGTATATATTTATACAGTTAACAATATAGTATTTTAAAATTAATTTTTTTCAGTAGCTAATTGATCAGTTACTGAGATTAAAAAAAATGATTCAAGCATACTTTAAATGATAAATAGTTCCACGTTCTGTAACAAGATGAACATTCTTGCTTTAGCATCGGTGAACAATGTGCTCTTGGGATAAGGTCCGATTCTGCAGTGGCACGCTACAGTATAACTGGGCAAGCGTCCCACTGCTTAATAAGGGAGAGCTGTACCACGGGGAAAGTTTTCAGTGTCGCACTAAAACTTAGGGGAACATCAACCATGTTTTTTTTTTATGCGACATTACTATATACATGATTAATAACCTCAACACGTATGTCTCAACACCTGACCTGCTCTCATAGCCTCGTACTCAAAAAAATTTCGCTTACAGTTTGTTAATTCTCTTGCATCGTTTTCTATACTTTCAGTGGATTTCACTTTTAATTAAATGCAGTAAATCTGCTGCAGTTAACATATGTTATAATTATAGGTAACACATGTTTTATAATTATGTTGTTTTATACTTCATTATTGGAGTTGTAAATCCAAATTTAATGTTATTTTTCAGTGTTGTTGACACGTGTTTTTTTTTTTTTACCTTCATCTTTTGCCTCACTCCTTCAGTCTGTGGAAAAAATGTATAAATACAACTTAATTAAAAAATAATATGAACCTTTCCATTTAAATGAGAAAACATTGAATAAATATTTTTCTTAATATTTAAATACACTCCTGATGAGACTGACATTTCTATTTAAAAAAATCTCTAAATCTTGCTGTTCCTAATGTTCAGTTGTTTTTAAATGTTTTAAAATACCAATTAAATATTATGCCATTTTAAATATCACTAAGATAAGTCCCAACTCAAAAAAAATGTTTTATTAACATGGGATCGCTCCGTCAAAAATTGGCTTGAGTTTTTATGGAGCCAAAGAATGACAGTTTATAAATCATTCCGTTGATGTGCGTGGTTGATAAGACTCACTAATAATTATATAATTCACTAATAATTATATAATTCACCGATAATTATATAATTTCACTAATAATTATATAATTCACCGATAATTTCATAAATCTTTCCTTCAACTGTTGTCCAGCAGTGTAGCAGATAACTGGTGGAATATGTTGACCTACTTGAACCTTCCCACTAGCTATTGAAGATGCCTTGTATCTCATGCAAGACTTTGGAAACTCAGCTTTGTTTTTTTAATCATACCTAATTAAATCCGATTCATCAAGCTCAGTATATCCCCCACAAGTACAGCACTTCCCCGTGATTATAAATAATAGCAATTACCTGCTGAAATAAGTGGAAACAATGGGCGAGTAGGCCTAC